TTGCCAAGGTTGAGAAATCCTGGACTAATGAAGCTGAGTAGATTAAAAGTCCCCCACCCCGTCCATCTTTCTTTTGGATCTTGGGAACAGCTTGTGAAGCATGGGTGTCTACAAGGCAAGGGGATCAAAGAAGTCAAGATGGTGGCCATGATCATACAGTTCAGGACCTGGCCCTTTTTTGCCACAAAAGGGGACAGAGCTTTGCTGGCATGGTCACGATCACCATCTTCATCAACCTTCTTGATCCACCTCGTGAATGCCTGTCAGATTCAGCCCAAGAACTACAATGAGGTCATCCAGTACAGTTCAGATCCTTTATTAGCTTGTACCTAATAGACAGAATCTCGCCAGACTAAACTTATCTACAGCTTCTATAGAATATACTCCGTGAGGCTCTAGAGAGGAACCAGCCTCATCCTCTTCATTTTCCCACAGTCTTGATGCAGGCTGTGGAGGTGCTTGTCCTGGAATGCCTCTCCCCCCTCCTGACAACCTTGAAGCTCCAATCCAGAATCTTCCTCGCTCACACTATCCATCACAATGCCCTTGCCTTTACATTTTTCAAAGAAGACCCCAGAAGGCCTCAGTGTTTCTTTCCAACTTTGTGATTTTATGAACTGTGGTACTCTTGATAGTAACAGAAATGTGCAAATGTGTCATAGATTTCCCAAATGCTCCAGTAGACCAAGTAGAATCATGGCCCCTAATTACAAACCCAAAGAGACCCCCAGCTCTCTCCTGTCAATAGGCTCGTGGCCTCCCTGTTTTCTTTTCTACCCATAGCCTTATTTCCTACTGAACACAGCCTTTCCCAATCAGGGCACCTTCCTACTGAGCTGGACTCACATCATCCCCAACCAGCAAGACCCCCTGTGCATGTTGTGTGAACCTCAGCCAGTTATGATATTCTTCCACAAACCACGGGTTAGCAGAGCTGTGAATCTGGTCACAATATTGTTTGACTAGCTTTGGACTGGGTGCGTAGACTGTGTTAAACGACGCGATGGCTTAGCAGAATGTGTGAACACAGCCTGCGCGTAAACCATTTTTGGAGCTTCTGCGGCAAACGAGGCGGGGGGAAGGCTGGTTAGTAACTGCGCATTGCACCTACGTCTAGTCCCAACTTGTGATTGCGCATAGATTTGCCAGTATCTTTCTCTGGCAGCACATCTGTGCCTCGAACTGCATAGAAAGAAGGAATTTGCCAGACAGTGCTGCGCCCGACATGCAGATGGAGCTGCACCTGCCGAATTTCTACTTTTCATGCATTTGATCTGGAGCTATTACAAAAAAAAAAAAGTAGTCGAACTGCTTCCTCTGCAATTCTGCTACCGGAAAGTTTGGCTGCCGGCATGTGAGCAACTATAGTACCTAAAATTCTTTCTTGCATTTGCAGAGAAGGGAGAAAGCTTCATACAGCAAGTAGGTGGCTGTTTCAATAATGCAGAAAGCGAGAGGTGGGAGAGAAAAAATAATGCCACGGAGCACCCGCTTCCTGCGGGCTGATCCCTTAACATCCTGTGTTTCTCCTTCTAGGGGCTTACGATCTCCCCATTCCACGAAAACAGTCCTTCATCTACAACACCACCAACAAATGGGTGCCAGTATTATAAAGCAAGAGATCCCACAAGGTTGGTTTTGGCTGAGTTTATTTTTACGTCGTTTGGAAATCCTGTGGTTCTTTTGAATGGCGGACCGTTCGTTTTTCACTTGCACTGTATCGTATGATTGAAAAAGAGCTTTGGACAAAAAATGACTATTGTTTCACTGTCGACTTCAGGTCAGTGACTAACCTTTCATGGCAGGAATTATGGGCCAAAATGAAAAATTCTGACATGTTCAAGATTAACTTCTTGACCATGCAAAGCCAAGTGCTGGGAAAATAATGTTATTGGCCCAGGGAAAGATGCAAAAATATTTATACAATTATAGGTGTGGAGGAGATGGATACAGACCAATTCTCATCTTACCTGCATAACAGTATATGAAGCTGCAGTGGCTGGTAATTCAGTTAGATTGGTTGTCAACCCTAAACTAAGCAGATGGTCTTGTTTCATAGAGCGCACTTGGGTCATCTCCAGCCCCAAAAGAACAAATCAAACAGAGCATGTCAGGCAAGTGCCCCTATTAAAATTGGACCTAATTTAGTGAAGTGTGTTGTGTTCCAGGAGCAGATTGAGCAGCCAGATGTGGAAACAGAAAAGAGCTCCTACAGCTTTATATTACGATGGGTCGAACGTGCTGCAGAAAACCATAATGCCATTTGTGTCTTCCCGTTTTAGCATGTAGTCTAAATCTAGCCAACTATGGTTTAGTCAACAAACCAGAGTTAAAACAGAGGCTTACCAGGAGATGTAAACTCAGACATTCTGTAGAAGAAGAGATTTTTCGCATGAAAAATGCATCTTGATGGATCTCCTCTGTCCCAGTATAGAAATATTGTGAACTGCCAAGTCCCCTTCCTTGCTAGGTGAAACAAAAAACGCTGGTGGAATAGTCACTTTTGTGAGCTCGGTTCCAAGGCTGCTGTGTGACTGTCTTGGCTGTTTCTTAAACATCAAGGAACTCCGCAGGGAGGGGTGTCTGCAGGGTATGGTCAAAAAAGTCAAGATGGCAGCCATGACCATGTGATCCAAGCTCTGCTCTTCTGTTATTTATTTTTTATTTATGTTTCAAATTTAGATACCGCCCGTCTCACGAGGAAGTGACTTATGCATGTGTCACACACACAATGCATGTGAAAAAGGGGCAGGACTTAAGTCACATGGTGGTGATTGCCATCTTGACTTTTTTGACCCATTCTCCTGCCCTCCAGGCTTGGTAGCACAGAGTGGGGGATGGCACCAGATTCAAGTAAAACCTGAATCAGTGCTCTGGTCTGCACGTTAGGTAAAGCTGTGGCTTGTTTAACTCTGGAGTACTGCATGGGAAGATCACAATTCACGCAACGGGGTGCGTCCCTACATTCCCAGGCTCCCGCATGACCCCCCAATTCCTCAGGCCCAGTCCACAGAGACCTCCAAACGTTCTTACCAAATTGTAATTTTTAACGCAGTAGAAAGGGGTAACTTTAAAATATATGACCGGAGTATAATCATATGAGCTAATTTAACGTTAGCCTTTTAGGTGTCAATGAAACCACGTCATATTTAGTTTTTCTTCTGGGAATGCAACCCCTGGAGCGTCACTGAGGGAACGGTGGCCTTCATCCTGGGAAAGGTTGCACAATTCTGCAGGAAGTCATAACTTCGCTTGCAACGGCCGTGGCTGGGTTCCTTGAACATGCTAAACCAGAATCCAGCAAACGGAAGGGCTGCTTCCCTGCTAGATGACATGCGTGTGCATTCAAATCCATTTCCAGCTTTTGCAATGCCTGGTTAGATGTTCACTGGTGAACCAGCAGGAAAAGGCAGGGATATCTTCAGGGGGTTAAAAAAACAAATGCCTTGCACTTAAAATGGGCAAGAGCTTTGGTGACACCATCCTGGCTGCCATCTTGATTGTTTTTTTAACCATACCATGAAGACCCCTTTGGGAAAAGGGCAAAACTGTGATTCAAGGAAGACTTTTTTCCCCCTGTCATACCTGTTTCTGTTAATTCTTTCTTGCATTTTCTACCCAGGAGTCATAGCTGTTGATTCTCCCCTCTACTGCTGCTCCTCTTTGCCTCCCTTCCTCAGTGATCCCAACCAATCAGGGCTCACACCATAAATGGCCCATTACCATGATACTGATATGGTCCTCAGATTGTCAGGGATCATGTTGTTGGGTTCTTATAGGTAGTCCTCGACTTATGACTATTCGTTTAACGACTGTTTGAAGTTTTGATGGCGCTGAAAAAAGTGACTTATGATAGATCCTCACACTTACGACCATTGCAGCATCCGCACATCACATGATCAAAATTTGGGTGCTTGGCAAGCAGCATATATTTATGACAGTTGCAGCACCCTGGGGTCACATGATTGCCACTTGTGCCTTCCCAGGGGGCTTCCGACAAGCCAAGTCAATGGGGGAAGCCAGGTTTGCTTAAAGAGGCAAAAAAGGTTGTAAAATCGGGCACAACTCACGTAATGACTGCATCGCTTAGCAATGGAAGTTTCGGTCCTAATTGTGGTCATAAGTTGAGGACTACCTGTATTTGCAGTCTCATTAACTCAAGGGCAAGGGGATATTGTACGGGGCAAGCGTGTTAAAAAAATGTCCCTTCTGCTTAACTTCCCCTTTCATTTCAGCCCAGCCATACCAGTTATGGCCATGGATGAATGAAAGAGCCTTGGAGTCAAGATCTGCTTGGAGCCCGTTTTTCTCAAGGTTTTGCAGAATGAGGCAGGAGTCAGTTTAGTTTCCTACAGCAATGCAGCAGTTCTCGAATTGTGGAGTTCTTGATGTGCTCTGAGCTTGGTGGTTTCTTGCAGACATTTCCTTATCCAACTAGATAACATCATCAGCGTGAGAGGATCATGTTCCCTAGGACTGCTGATGTGTCCTAGTTGGGTAAGGAAATGACTGCAAGAAACCACCAAGCTCAGAGAACACCAAGAACTCCACAGTTCAACCCTAAGCTACAGAGATTCTCTTCTATTGGATTCCTGAATTGTCCCAGAAGAAAGAGATACGGCTTAGGCCCACAGCAGGAACAAATTTTGGTGGCCTCCAAGCTTCCAGATTCTGTCCCAAAAACAAGGGATGGCGTACACACAAACACACACATAGGGGAGTGACAAAAGGTGTAACTCACTGCAACACCCAGGGGTGTCCTTGGAAGGAGGTCAAAAAAGTCAAGATGGCAGCCACAGCCATGCGATCAAAGCTCTGCCCTTTTTTACGTCCATGCAATAAGGTTTTGATCACGTGGTTGTGACCACCAACTTGACTCCCCCCCACAGCCCCCCAGATTGCATTTTAATGAATACAATCTCTGATAGAAAACTGGTTCTCTCCTTTGATCTATATTATGCCAGACTTGCTTTCTGTCTCTGAATCTTTATTACAATAGAATATATACAAAAAAAAAAAAAAGGTTAGAAAAATGAACAAAGCAGGGAAAAAAAAAAAAGACAATCCGGGGGAACTGTGAAGCAGCTGGTTTTGAAATGCTCTACTTTCCTCCATGTCAATATATAAAACAAAGTATATTTATACACATGCACATGTTTAGATATTTATAAAATAACAAAAAGGCATCGGAAATGTATAAAACAGTCACTGTTGCTCTGGATGGTGACATCCGGGCTTCTGAGGCAAGGAGGAATGTGGCGTGAGCGGGAACCACAGAGCGTCTCTTTGAAGCTCCTTTGAAAATTCACCATGTCCAGAACTTGGTTTTTGCCTCCCGGCCCCAAGAGTTGACACTAAACCATTTCCAACAAAGCAGAACAAAGGAGATTTAGACCCTGCTGCCTGAGAGAACTCTACGTTTTCCTACGTCTGAAACAGGGAAAAAGGTCAGAATTCTTGGTCTGCCAGACGAACAGCATCATCATACAGTATAAAATAATAATAACAACAACAATAATAACAATAACAAAACAATAATAATAATAATAATAACAATATCGGAGAGAAGTTCCACATTCACAGTGAGAATGGATCTTCCACACCCTCTTCATGTGTCGAGCTCGGCCACCATCTCTGGTTACTTCTCCCCCTTCGAAGGGGGTCGCGTTCCAGTCAAACACCCCAAACCGATGGATTTGGCTTGCGCAGAAGGAGAGTGGAACTCCGCTCCGCTGGCAATCATTCCACAGAAGTGCAGCCTTTGGAGTCTTCAGAGCTCCTTGAGGGTCACCTGGAACTTCTCCTCAGCTTCCACCACGTCAAGGAGGAAGGCCATGTGGTTGCTGTAGTGCTGAATTATGTTGTTATCCATGTTTACCAAGATGCTGCGAGAGAAGGACAAAGCGACGGAAGAGTTAGCGAGCTCAACACCACCCTTTGCTAACAATAACAGCGCAAGTTCCAAAGTAAGGACGGGCAAAGCAAGAGAAGAAAATGACTGTATAGGATATTGTTTGATAATCTACCTTTGGGAGTTGCGCAGAGGAGAGAATTCAGCAGTTTTCAGAAGAAGAGCCCTTCCCACCCAACATGATGCTCTTGTGATGTGCTGGATTTTTGTGACTGAGCCAGAAGGGGCTTTTAGATGGAAAAGGAAGCACTGAGTGCCATTAATCAAAAGACTATGAATTTGACCAGAACAGCAATGCTGGGGAGGACTTTTTTTTATCCTCCTCCCTATGTTATTTTTCCAGTTAAAATTACATACATCTGAAGTGCTCTTTGCCTTAGGTGGGGCATAAGAGCTTTCTCTGCAGAAGAAACACAAGCTTGGATGAAGAATGTGGCATGGGAAATGGGGAATCAACACCCTGGCCTCCAGCCTCATTGCTCCAAACCACCCAGCAGCTCTGCATTTCAGGCAGCCATACACACCCAGATACCCAGGAAGCTGGTGCGGAGGTCTCCGGCACAGCCTGCAGCCCAGTCTGTCCCTCCCACTGCGCAGCAGCTTTTGGCAGAGGAGGGTCCTCCAGCCTTCCTTCCAGAACACAATCCCAGCCAGCCAACCAGCCTCCAAATCAAGCGGGAAAATCCCAGGACCGTGAAGTCA